AGGTATATTTGGTACAAGCCCATACTGATCCTCAATTCTTCTGTATATTTTCTTAACTCTCTCATCAACACCCATTACATGATAACTCATACCAGTATTTCAGGACTCCATTGTATAAGGGTCTAAAAAATGCTTAGAGATTTTTAAACAGTTTTCTTTGTTTTTTCTTTTTTGATGTGTGTTAAACATTTGTCTTTGTATACAGAGAAATTTTAGTCTACTTAATTTAAGCAGTTGAGACGAGAAAACTATGGGCGGTCTCATGTTAGCTGATTAGATATCTGGAGATTTGCTCCTCCTGGCTTGTTCTGTTTTATTTTGTTGATCTTGGAAACATCCAGAGAAACAGACCGAGTTTGACCGGTTTTGCAAGTCTTTGAGGATTTTTGATACATTCATCAACTTTATTAGTGATCCAAGCTTTGCTTTAACTTCTGAAATTATGTGGCTTCAGATATTAATGAAGTTAGCGACAGTTTTCCATTAAGTAGGATTTCTTGTTCAAGTTACACAACTCGTTGCGAATTTTGAGCTTCTTGTAAACATGGAAAAAGCTGGAACCTACAGTTTATAACATTCTTAAAGAAATGTCAGAGAAAGTGGTGGTTTCGTTAATGATATCCCCCGTGGTGTTAATTTGTTAATTACAGGTGGCTTGGTGAGACTGAGGAAGCCTACAGGTCACTAGCCAAGGCAGCAGAGATACTGCGAATTACTCATGGAACAAACACTAATTTCATGAAGGAGCTTTTTGTGAAGTTAGAAGAAGCTCGTGGGGAGTTCTCTTACAAGATTTCATCCAAGGAAGAAGAAATTGATTGAACTGCATCCACATATGCACGTAACCTTTGTCGACAACAGATAAAATTCCGTTTTACCAGTTCGACAAAGGGCGGCCCCTCTTTCCTAATTATTACAATGAAAAGTTTCTAGTGAGATGCTAATCTCCCTTTCCCTACTGTCTACTTTTGATGGAAGTTGAGTAACTATTGTGAGAGAAAAGGCTATCTTGGCAGTTTCTTCTATCTTATATAAGAGACTAGAGTTTTGACTTTCGGAAAGGGGTGCAAGGTATGTTTCATTGGATGCTGTAAATAGCTAGAATTTGTATTGTTGATTACATTCCGAGTTCTATTAGGGGCCTGCATAACATTGCAGGAATTATCTATATATAGGAGTAAAATATTTTATCTTTTGAATATTTCTGTATTAAAGAATTAGAGTATGCTTTTGAACTTTTATACCTTTGCAACTCTTGAGATTATGTATTTAACCACACACACTCACACAGTTCTACATGTATATGTTACAGCTCAGCACTCTTAGTTAGTGATATTAGCATTAGTTAGTTAGCATTAAAGAAGTGGTTAGCTATTAGTTGTTTTGTATAAATACATGTGTAAATATCTTAATCAAAGAGATAGTTTTCATTCTCTCAAAATTTGGAACCTTCTTCTCCACATTTCTCTTTCTAGATTCACTCATTTGTTCCGCCATTGGAGCTCCTTCTGAGCTCAACTCATACTGCTACTTCGATTTTGACATGGTATTAGAGCAGAGGCTTCGATCTCGACCTCACTCTCGTAGTTTCTCCGTGTTAATTCAGTTCTAGCTCGTTCGATTGAAGATTTGTGGTGAGAAATTAGGGTGTCCTAAATTCAGTACTTCTGCTATTTTGACTGCAAACTTACCTCTATCTCTGTAATTCTCCGCTTGAATCATGTCTAAAGAAGACGATGTTTTGAATTCGACTAATTCCCTTTACATGCACCCGTCTGAGAGTGTCGGTTCTATGTTGGTGTCGGTATCGTTTGACGGAACTGGATACAGATCCTGAAGAAGAGGAGTACTAAGGGCTCTCTCTGTGAAAAACAAAGTAGGTTTCATCACGGGAAAATGCAAAAAGCCGGATTCTAGCGCTCCGACCTTTGAACAATGGGAGCGTTACGATGATATGGTCACATCATAGATTTTAAACTCGCTTTCAAAGGACTTGGCAGATAGCTTGCAATATGTCAGTGACGCTAAGAAACTCTGGGAGGGATTGGAGGACAGGTATGATCAAACTAACAGTGCGAAGCTCTATCAGCTTCAAAGGGAAATCAACGATTTAAGCCAAGGAGCTCTAGATATTACTGGATACTACACAAAAAAAAATAATTATGGGAAGAATTAAATACCCTAAATGCACACGCTAAATGTAAGTGTCAGTGCACTTGTGGAGCCAAAGCAAATATGCACAAAGCAGAATAGGATAGGAGACTAATTCAATTCCTCATGGGATTGGACGAGGTGTATACAGTGGTGCGAGGCAGCATTTTGATGATGAATTCTTTGCCTAGCTTGGCACAACCCTTCTCAATTCTTATTCAAGAAGAAAAGCAGAGGGAAGTAAGGCCTCAGAATTAATTTGTATTAGAGTCTACTTCACTAAATGTGAGTGGTGCAGGCAATAATAATTTCCGAACAAATTACAATCAGAACACCAACACTGGTGGGAACAATGGATACAGGGGGACCAATTTTCAGGAAGGCCTAGAATGTTTTGCGAGCATTGTAAGAGGCCAGGACATACGAAGGATAAATGCTACAAACTTCATGGGTATCCGCAAACTAACAATAACAACAAATTCAATAACTAATAGATGTTCAACAACAACAACAATAAATTCAACAACCAACAGATGTTCAACAAAACCAACAAAGGCAAGGGGACTGCAACAAATGTTTTTGGTACACAACACGATGGGTTGAATATGGGAGAAAATGAAGGTGAATTCCAGGATCAGAATCGAAGCATACACAATTTGAGCAAAGAGCAATATGGTCAGTTATTGAGGTTGCTGGAGAATTTTCAGACTCAGTGTGGAAATGCAGGAGATGTTTCTGGGAGTGTCAACCTGAACAGTGGAGCTGTTAACTTCGCAGGTATTATGGCATGCTCTGCTTCTGTTGAGTGTAATTCACAATCATATGAGTGTTTTGAACCAAATATTGATTCCTGGATCCTTGTTTCCGGAGCTACAAACCACATGACCTATAAGAAATCACTACTAACCAATATTAGAACTTTAGTTTATCCCTTTCTGGTATCACTACTTAACGGATATAAAGTAAAGGTGACACAAATTGGTAAAGTGATTCTTAACACTAAGTTCACTCTGAAAAGGGTCCTTTATGTGCCTAGTTTCAAATACAACTTAATGTCTATACATTCCTTGACAATACAACTTGACTGTATTTTTATTTTTACCAAATTTGTCTATCTTATTCTGCAGGCCCCTTCAATGAAGAGGCCTCTGGAGATTGTAAAGCCAAGAATGGTCTGTATTTTCAGTGTTTAGAAGTCAGCAAGAGTAATTCTGTTTTCAGTTCTGCATCAAATAATTATGTTTCATCCAGTGATTCTACGTGTCATCCTGTACATAGAGTTTCCAATCCATATCATGCATATGTAGATAAGATACATTCTCATGTCATCCATGTTGTAAATACCTCAGTTGCAAATAAAGGAAGTGATTATCTTATATTCAATTCTATGGCTAATGGATCCTTGAGAAATGAAAACCATGTAGATTCTTTGTGGCATAACAGATTGGGGCATGTGCCTTTTGTCAAAATGAAGGGTATTTCATCCATACTAATGACTTTTGCATCCAAACAACCCTTCTTTTGCCATATATGTCCCATGACAAGACAAACGGGGATGCCTTTTCCCCAAAAGACCACATCCACAACCAAAATCTTTGAATTACCGTACATTGATTTGTGGGGACCATATCATGTTACAACTCATGATGGCTATAGATATTTCATTACACTAGTGGAAGATTACAATAGGTCAACATGGACACATCTTTTGGCATGCAAGAGTAATGCATTGCAAATCCTAAAGGCCTCCACTGTCATGGTAGAAAACCAATTCAATACCTCAATCCAATCTATTAGAACAGATAATGGGCTGGAATTTACCAATTCTGAAACTATCTCATTTCTTCAAATCAAAGGTATTTTGCACCAGAAAATATGCCCCTACACACCACAACAGAATGGTGTGGTAGAGAGAAAGCACAAATACCTACTTGAAACAACAAGAGCACTACTTTTTCAATCAAAATTGCCCCTGAAATATTGGGGAGAGTGTATTCTCACAGCTACATATCTGATAAATAGACTCCAATCTTCCCTCCTTCATAATAAATGTCCTTTTGAACTGCTTTATCAAAAGGAGCTCACTTACTCACATCTCAGGAGTTTTGGGTGTCTTTGCTTCCCCACTATCCTTAAAGGCCACAAAGATAAATTTGTGCCAAGATCAACACCCCGTATTTTTGTAGGATACCCCTTTGGGGGAAAATGGTACAAGGTCCTTAGTCTAGCCACAAAGATGATACATGTCTCAAGAGATGTAATTTTCCATAAAAATGTGTTTCCTTTTGCTTTATCCTCTGATTCTAATAGGGTATCTAGTCTTTGGTCAGGTTCCTTTGCCCTTTCAAACTTTTTCAAGCCAAACAAGATCCTTATCTAACACTGGTGGTACAACCTTCATTCCCCACTCATCTGAATCACTTCACAATGCAGAGTCATCTGCAACTTTTTCTGGTAGTGATCACTTGCAAATTGATACATACTCCAATGAGCATACAACACCTAATTAACCTTCACCATGCCCTACATTTACTAGTACTTCCCTTGTACATGTTTTACACCAACAGAACATGTCACATATTTCTCATACACCTTCCAGAACACACAAAACACTTGTGTACTTAAAGGATTATGTGTGCTCCATTCACAAACTTTGACCCCATCATTATGTTCCTATTTCTCCTTGTGTGACACCCTCCAGTATCAATTATTGTACATAATCTTTTTCCTTTAACACTTTAGTACCCCATGCACAATATGTATCCCTAAATGCCTTAGTTCCAGATAGTCAGCAATTTGTCAAGAGCATCTTACTTGATTATGAACCCAACTCATATGAAAAAGCAACCATGAATCCTGCTTGGCAAGCAGCAATGGCACAAGAATTTGAAGCATTACATACTAATAACACTTGGAACTTGGTCCCTCTACCAGCTGGTAAAAGGGCAATAAGGTGCAAGTGGGTGTACAAAATTAAACACAAATCAGATAAGAGTGTTGAGAGATTCAAGGCAAGGTTGGTTGTAAAAGGGTACACACAACAAGCTGGGATAGACTATACTGAAACCTTTTCCCCAGTTGTTAAGATGACTACAGTGAGAGGGTTAATTGCAATAGCAATTAAAAAGGGGTGGCAGCTCTTTCAACTGGATGTGAATAATGCATTCATTCATGGAGACCTTCGTGAAGAAGTGTATATGGATGTACCTCCTGATCTGGTAGTAGAGATATCAAACTTGGTGTGAAAGCTAAATAAGTCCCTTTATGTCTTAAAGCAGGCAAGTAGGCAATTGTATGAAAAATTAGCAGAGGCATTGTGTTCCAGAGGGTATGTACATTCAATGCTGGATTATTTCTTATTTTATAAGAAAGCTGGAGCTTCGGTCATTTTTGTTGCCATGTATGTCGATGATGTTATAATCACAGGGTCCCAACTAGATGAGATAGAATCACTAAAAGGGTTCCTACATGAGACATTTAAGATAAAGGATTTGGGGAGGTTGAATTACTTCTTAGGACTAGAGGTTTTGTATAAACATGATGGTGTCCTAATATCCCAAAGGAAGTTCACCATGGATCTATTAAAGGAATATAATTGTCTGCAGTATTCTCCAATGTCTTCTCCTCTTGATCTTCCAATCAAGTTAAAGGTGGATGAGGGGACCTTGTTGCCAGATCCAACATATTATAGAAAGTTGATTGGTAAACTGAATTTCCTTACTAATACTAGACTCGACATTGCTTATAACGCACAACACTTGAGTCAGTTCATGCAAAGTCCTAGAGATACTCACCTGAAGGCTACATTTCATGTGCTAAGATACCTCAAAGGAGATCCAAACTTGGGCATCTTTCTTTCTAATAGTGACGACTATAGAGTTCGAGCCTTCTGTGACTCAGATTGGGGAACCTGTCCTAAGTCCAGAAAATCAGTAAGTGGGTACATAGTGCTTTTTGGGGACAATCCCATTAGTTGGAAGTCAAAGAAACAGTCTACTATTGCTCTTTCTTCTATTGAGGCAGAGTAGAGGTCCGCTAGGAAGGTGGTTGGGGAGTTGGTTTGGCTTTCAAGGCTGTTGGATGAGCTCATTGTACCCTTGTCTTTTCCCATGCCAATCTTTTGTGATAGACAATCTGCCCTACTCATTGCCAAAAACCCAGTGTTTCATGAGCGCACGGAGCATATTGAAGTGGATTGTCATTTCGTCTGCGACAAACTTCAAGAAGGGCTGATTTCTTTACATTACATTCCTACAAATGAGCAGTTGGCCGACATATTTACCAAGTCTCTTACTGGGATCAAACATTCTTTCCTTCTTAGCAAGTTGGGTGTGACCTCCTCACCTCCAACTTGAGGGGGGGGAGGTCTTGAGATTATGTATTTAACCACTCACACAGTACTACATGTATATGTTACAGCTCAACACTCTTAGTTAGTGATATTAGCATTAGAGAAGTGGTTAGATATTAGTTGATTTGTATAAATACATGTGTAAATATGTTAATCAAAGAGATAGTTTTCATTCTCTCAAAATCTTGAAGCTTCTTCTCCACATTTCTCTTTCTAGGTTCACACATCTGTTCCGCCATTGGAGCTCCTTCTGAGCTCAACACATGCTGCTACTTCGATTTTGACAGCAACAAAGTCACAAGCAGGGTAATAACTAATAGGGAAAAGGGCCAAATATACCTATCTACTTTAGTGTATTGTTCATATCTACCCTTCGTTATACTATCGGGCCATATTTACCCTTACCGTTAGCCAAACTTTTTAAAAATACCCTCCACCCTATGGAAAGCCATCAGATTAATAAAATAATAATTTTAACAAAATCATTAACCCAAACCCGTTAAACCCATCATTTAAAAATACGGAATCTAGATTTCTGAGACGTCTTAACACATTTTATTCATTTAGAGAGGACCGGGAATGGTGGTAGAAGTATGATTAGTACGAACTTCTATTTTAGTTATTAGTTGTTTATGGTGGCATTAGGATATTATGTTATCACTTTCGGTTATTTTATTGTGTGTGGTTATAATATGGCATCCCTTTGTCTAATGTAATACACACTTGACAATTGGTTTGTAAGTTGGTAACAACTGATATATACTTTAATAATACTTGCGTTTGGTTAATACATGAAGGTAGTGTACTTAGGTTGTTAAGTTACTTTTCAACTTGTTGGTGTACTTTCTTTCATTCTTGATGAATTTGTTAGACTGTAGCTTGATGTTAAATTGAATCTCCTCTAATTATTTTCTATTTTTTGTTCATTATAAGTTCAGTTGTTACTAAGAATTATGAGTATCCCATCTTGTATCTTGGAATCTAACTTTGGTTCTTAAGGCGTGATTTGACTATAATTACTTATTGCCCAAATGCTTAAAGCAGAATAAGAAAATCATGGTGCATGAATACTCATCAACAAAGGCTCACTGTTGGAGGAAGAAATACTTCCCTTAAAGACTTTAGAACTGGCAACCTAATAAGATGCTATAAACAGTTAAGTCATGGTGGAAAGAAAATCATGATGAATACTCGGTACAGCTCGACATGGTGGAAAAAAACAAAGCGAGCAGCTAGAAGAAAAAAAGAAAATTGACAAAGGTAGAATATAATAAACATATAATAAGGATATTAAAAGAATTGAGACTCAATGTATAAATGAATATACGGTTATTAATATTTTTATGTCTTTTCACTTCTTGAGTTCAACAAGTGACTACGAAGGAGATAACTAATATGCGAGGAAGAAGTGCAGTAAATTAAAGCAATTTAACGGGTTATTAATGGAGGTATTTTTTTAATTTGGTGACTTTCCATTAGGTGGAGGGCATTTTTAAAAAGTTTGACTAACGCTAAGGATAAATATGTCCCGATAGTATAATGGATGGTAGATGTGAACAATATTACCAAAATAGTGGGGTATATTTGACCTTTTTCCCTAACTAATAACCCTCTCTCAATCAAGTTACAAAAAAAGTGGCCAAACCTCGCGGCTGACCCTGGATAACACAGGTGTAAGGCAGACGTATAAAAGAAATGAACGACAAGTAATAGCATCTAAAATGACCTGAAAAATATACTGGTATAACATATTATCCAGCGCTCAAATTGAGCTGTTCTAAAAGTTTCTGCAGAAGTTGATTTCCAAAGAGGGATGAAAGGTCTACAACTGTGAAAATATAACAAGAAACTCTTTCGAGAAAATCTAAACAGATCAACGGTAGCGGCGTAGAGACAGTGTCTGGTTCCTCTTCCAAGTTGCCCTTCTTGAGGGACGTTGCTTGTGGTGCAAGTGTCCTTTTCCTTGGAGACCCCTGTTTTTCTTGCCAGCTGAAGTCAGTCCACGAAGCTCTCTGTGCTTGTGCACCGGGTTGCAGATCCAGTTGATTCTTGGGTCATTCCTCACAGCAGCATGGGCTGCATCAATCAGGATCACTTCATAGTACTTATAAGTAGAATCCTGCAATCAATAACGTAATAAGTTGCTTCGAGGAATTCGAAGAAATTCGAATTTTGCTAAAAGAGAGTCAACAGACAAATACCTCGTTGATCCAGTAAGAATTAAGGACTTTAAGACCACCCAATTTCCTACCAGCACGCTCCTCAGCAACAGAGCGCTTACTGCGCTGAAACTTCAACTGGGTGACTCCCTGGTTGGTAGGCTTACCATACACAATACCTTTGGGTACAGGCCTCTTCCTTCCACCACGCTTCACACGCACACGGTAAACCACGTAGCCCTGCAAATATTGTTGAACACAGTCACACGGATAGAAATCCAAAAGTAGACAACAAAGGCACCCTTTCTACTATGGAAATGGAGAACTGACAAAATACTGTTACTTAGTTCTAAGTTTGAGAAGTCATACAACAATTGCATGCACTACAAGAAAAAAATATTTGCAACTTGTTTCAATCCCATGCATCCAGAAATTTCAGATAACAATGAATGGACAGAGGATCATTAAACTCTCATAGCAGCAACCTGTTATCAGAAATTATAGATGCTGCACCACACAATTATTTACAGAGGCAATAAGAAGAGACGACGATTATGGCTAAACTGAGAAAGTAGCCTATTTACTTGATCAAACATTGAATCAAATATTTTTTATTCTAATAGCATGGGATCAATTCAATACATAACATCAAAAGGCAACAGAATTAAACCAATAATAAAATCTCACTTGAACACTCAAACTCAAGTTTTACCAGACCATGTTCATTTTCACCTTAGTGCATCCAAGAACAAACTATTCAACAATTGTGGATTCAGAAAACTTAGTACACCCTATTTATATCTATAAACATTTGCAATATGCACATGACTGAAACCTCTCAGCAAGTAACATTGTCAAAAATATCAATTACCAATAAAGGAGTAACATTGTCAAGTGTCATACAACTTCTATGCCTCAATTACAAGCAACTTGAGATTGACTATATGAATCCTCACTAAATATGTCGCTCCATTTAAGCTCAACTCAACATCGTCGAATATCATAATGAAAAGAAAAAATACCTGCTTGGCTTTGTAGCCGAGGCGGCGTGCCTTGTCAGGACGAGTAGGTCTAGTGACACGCACTATGGATGGGAGCTGGCGGTACTCCCAGCACCTCACCCTCTGCAAAAACCTCATCACATCTGACTGTTTCTTCCTCCATAGCTCTGATACGTAAGTATAGGCACCTACATATCCACAACATAACAAACCACAATCATTTTCCAAAAACACCAATATAAGCATATCCTGTATTTGCATGATCAAACCAGCATTACCAGAATTCCAACAATTACATTTCAAACACTAAGAATTCCATCTACTGCACCATTTTTTAACGAAATCATATATCATTTTCTCCCAGGAAATTCATACCATAGGAGATTTTCAAAACAATAAGGTCCGTTATTCAATTGAACTTTTTTCAAACTGTAAAAAAAAACATATGATATTTAACATACTACTATTATAACATTCAAGCAAAATGACGAATATATTTGACAGGAAAGGAATAAAGCGATCCTCATTTTGACATGAATCAATATCAAACAAGAAGGGTAATGCAGAGATAACTGAATTAAAATTAGATTAACATACCCATTGTAGTGCGGCGAAACTCTCTCCTCCTTACTCTGCTATTACCGGTGAAGTTCCGCTTAGGGTTTTGTGGGAGGCGGGGTTTTTAATTACCTCTTGGGCTAAGACTAATATGTCCAAGGTATGGAGTATAATTTTTAGCCCGTGCCAGAAATTATTTATATTTCTTAGTCAAAAAAGTACATAAAATTTGTATAATTTTTATATATAACATATAAAATGTATATATATACAAATTTTATATATTTTTTGGCTATTATTTTTATAACAGCTATACAGTGTAATCTTTCCAATTCCAAAATAAAATAAATTTTAAGTATGGTTTGCACGAGGTAGCCGGTTTAGGATCCCTGTTTAAGGAATAGCCGAATTTACAAAGTTTTTAGAGCTTAGCCGCCTCAGAATTATTTTCAAATATGTTAGTCTTAAGTTAATATCAGGGGTTTAAAGTTTCCAAATTTAAAGTGAGGATGAAGTTTAAATTCATACATGAGGTCTGAAGTTTGGACATTGGAAGAGCTCAACTTCAAATTTGAACTCTGGCTTTTAAAACTTTAAATTTTAGGTATGAAGTTAGGTTTTGGTAAAGTATAAATTCATATCATAATGTCTGAATAAGAAGCAATAACAGATTCAGTTTGAAGTTTGTCAAAATTGATTAAATTTTAACTATTTTTATAAACTTGATATATATTAAATAGGGGTGTTACAAACATTTAGCTGATGTCATCCTATGGTATTTATACCATGAGGACACTTGTACTTAGAAGTTCGTTGCTTTTTTTACAATTAAAATTAGACTCGTAATTTGAATATTAATTTTAAATTTTGAACTTTAGATCACTAATTTAAAGCTTAAAATAAGTGGTCAACTTCTAAATATAAGGCTAAAACATAGACTATTTCTGCAAATCAGCTTA